CCAGGTCATTAACTCTGCTGCTCTGGTGTTGTTGAGCATGCCTGTGATGCCAGTTTCTCCTCCCTGAACTACTTTAAAGGCAGAAAGAATGATTTTGGCTCACGGCTTCAGGATCCCAGCCCATGGTCTCTTGTTTCTGGCCCCAGCCTAGTGAGGGACAGTTAACAATGGGCAGCATGCACTGAGGCACCTTCACCTCATGGCAGACGGGAGAAAGGAAGACAGGCAGGGACCAGTGACAAGACACCCTTCAAAGGCATGTCTCGAGTGATTCCTATAACTAAGCCCACCTCTTAAGTTTTCACCACCTCCCAACAAGGCCTTCAGACTGTGACCTGAGCCCTTCAGTGGAATAACCTATTGGTAAGTCAGAGTACTCAGTCAATTGCTGCAAGACCTACCAGCTGGTAAAAAAGCCTTTAACATGTAAGCTTCTGGAGGACGCCGTGGATTCAAACCTGAACACTATCTGGAGGACTCTATGCGCTGTTGATAGTGACAGACACCTACCTATACTTGTTTTCCTGCTGACACGATTTGAGGATGGGTCTGAGTCAGACAGCCTGATAAAGTGATCGCTTTTAGAGAAGGCTTGAGGGACAGCATCCTTGGTCCTGGAAACAGTCTATGAACACCCTACCTCTTCCAAGGCTGGTCAAGGAAAACTTTGTCCATCTGCCCAGCCCAGAGAAGAAGCAATGCACTGACCATGTCATACTGAGGACGCTAGCATAAGTGACCCAAATGTTTAGGAGTTAGCAGGGAGTGCACACACTCCTGCAGCCACACATTCAAAATTGGCATTCATTCAGGCATATTTTAGTTCCAGTAGGATTTTATTTCTGGACTTGAAGACAAAGATTCCTGCAGCAACTGACTCTATTTGTATGCAAATAAAATCATATGTAAATTTATATGTAAATAAAATTTTACCTTTAAGAGTTTTAATTACATTTACTTTCATGATGTTTTTATTCAGTAGAAATGTTTTCTTTGGGCTGGAGAGATGGTTCAGAGGTTAGGAGCACTGGCTGCTCTTCCAGAGGACCTGAGTTCAATTCCCAGCAACCACATGGTGGCTCACAACCGTCTGTAATGAGATCTGGTGCCTTCTTCTGGTGTGTGTATACATAATAAATAAATCTTTTTTCTTAAGAACTGTTTTCTTTATACATTTCTCCACTATCCTTTCTATCTTCCTATGTATTAGCTGCTTGAAAGACAATAATCTCTCTAAACATGTTTGTGTATACTGACATCACTCGCTAATATAAAGACATCTGTGTAAACAGACATCTCTCCCTAATGCTGTGTTGACATTGTTTACTTTCCACTCTTAAGGTCCTATTTACCAATGCTTTTAAAGCATATTTTAAAAATGTATACATGCAAGTCAGGTGGTGGTGGTGCACACCTTTAATCCCAGCACTCAGGAGGCAGTGGCAGGTGGATCTCTGTGAGTCTGAGGCCAGCTTGGTCTACAGAGCAAGTTCTAGGGTAACCAAAATTGCACAGAGAGATCCTGTCTTGAAAAGAAATAACAGAAAAGAACATGCAAATATGTATTTCAATTATTTTCACAGCACACTCCTACCATCCGGCCCCTCCCAGACAGATTCCTCTATTCCTTACTGCAATCCATATATATATACATACACAACATCATACTGAGTCTAACTAGTGCTATCCACACATGCGTGAGTGCAGACTATGCACTGGAGCATGGTCAGTCTATCAGGGACCACACTAGTTAAAAAACTGACACTCTTCCCCTGGCGGCTGTCAACTGCCAAAGCACCTCAGCTACAACTTACCAGCACCTTTCTGTTTGTCAGAGGGCTAAAGGAGCCCAGCAGAGCCTGCTGTGCACTCTCACTGAAGGGGCCGCTTACTTGTGCCACCAAAGAGACAAAAATCACTAATACTGTCTAACCACCTGGCCCGTTTACTTCAAAAGAACCTCTGTGAAATTGTTCAGCTGGGCTGTGAAAGATGAATCTAATTAAAACAAAGAACCTTTGCCACCATTTGGGCAAAAATGAAGCCACATAAGGAGAAGACCAAAACACATGGTGCACCAGGAGCTCTTCTCATACCGGTCCCGAGCTGTTAGCCACGGAAAGACGATTGACGCTTCTAGTTTCGTATCAGTTTTTGTGCATGGACCCCCAGTATCCCAGGAATGACACGAACACAGTTGACAGAACAACTCCTCAGGTCAAATTTCACAGTTTCCAGTGCTTGTGTAACTTAGCACACAAACCTTTGGCATTCTCAAACACGGCAACGTCCAGAGTTCTTTCTCCAGCTGTAGCAAACAGAAGAAAGGCAGCACAGGCGCTGCCACACACAGCTCTGTGGTGAGATGGCAGTAAGCACAGATTGGTTTTTGCTATGAGCAGGCTGCTTAGCAACACCCCTGGCCTCCACCCACTAGATGCAGTATAACATTCAGAGTGATAAAATCCCCTCCACTATCAAATGTTCTTGTTGAAAGTCTGGGTTGCTGCGTGCTTGGCTCAGGACTCGTGGAGAATGAGGTCTGTGTCCCTATTAAAGATAGAACATTCAGCAGGCTTTTCGTGGCAGCGATTTGAAAACTGTCACCACCACACCTTTCTTCTGTACATCAGAGGTTTTTAACCTTTGAGTCACAGTCCCTGGGGAATTGAACGACCCTTTCACAGGGGTCACTTAATACCATTGGAAATCACAGATATTGTATTACGATTCTTAACAGTAGCAAAATTAGTTACGAAGTGGCAATGAACATAACTTCGTGGTTGGGGGTCAGCACAATGGAGGAACCGTATCAGAGTCACAGTGCTAGGAAGTCGAGAGCCACTGCTGCCTCCCAGTGCGCACCGACTACAGCCAGCCTATCTCCTACCTGCTTCTTCCCAGTCATAGCCAACTGAACTCATTTGATTAAGGCATAGGAACACTAACAAACCTTCACTTAATTTCCTGGACCTTCCTCTTAAACACCATAACCATAACTGCCTTGCACACTTGTGTACCCAATTAGCATACGAAATTTAGTATGTTCAAAACCAATATTAAAAGACATTCCCTATTCAACAGAGCCAAGTACTGCTAAGGCATCTGAGGACGATGTCCAACATGGAAGACAATGACCTGCAGTATCAAATATTCATCCAAACTCTAATATATATATATATAATGTGTGTCTAAAAGTTTCCGAGAGCCACATGCTGGAAACCAGAGGCCATTAGTATGAAGATAGATTAGATTCCTTTGTGAGGGGCCCCTGTCCTTCTTATGTCCCTCCCAATTTTCATCTTTCTATCCTGACTCAGAGCTAAGAAAGTGTGGTATAAAATGGTGAATTCCCCCTCAAGTTATTTCTGCCAAGCAATCTGTTGAAGAGACGAGGAGAGTAATTAGCACAGAAACTAGACCTCCTAGGCTGTCGTGGAAAGTGTGTTGGTTTGAATGAGAATTACCCTCATAGACGCGTGTTTGATCCTTGTCCCTAGTTGGCAGAACTATTTGGGAAGGATTAGGAGGTGTGGCCTTGTGGGAGGTAGGCCGCAGGGGTAGCCTTTGAAGCTTCAAAAGCCCACAGCACTCCCAGTTAGCTCTCTTTCTGCCTCACAGTTGTATTTCAAGATGTAAGATCTTCACTACTGCTCCATCACCTGCCTGCCTGCTTGCTGCCCCGCTCCTGACCTGGATGGTCATTTTTTGTACATTAACTAACTAGAATTCTTCTGAAAAGAACAGTGGAGGCACTTTCTTCTTATAGTGATTCAGTCAACTTACAAACACGTTAAAATTAGAGACAAAGTTAGAGATGGGTGGAGCTGAAAGTGTGTGAAAGTTGGGCATAAGCAGACAGTGTTCGCTGTCTGCTCTCTTGCCCTCCACTGCATCAGACAGTCACTCTGACTCTGGGAAAGTGAGTAGTGACCTGGTCTAAGGGGGTGTACAGAGACAGAGGGGTTCCAGACCTTCAGGGCTGGTTCTAGCTGATCTGAGAGTTGGAGCCCAGTCCTGGCTTTAGAGTAGAGGCAGACTACACGTCACAAACTTTAGCAGTGGGAAAAAGCCTAGGGTTAACCCAATTAGAGGTTTATTTGTCTGTTGGTTTGTTTGAAATGGCACGGTGGACATTGACGTCCCTCCTAAATGCGTGTTTGGGTTGACACTGTATGAAAGAGGAAGTCTATAATTCTCCTCCGCTGTCACAAGGCCATTTCCTGCACTTCCCACTGCTACAATCTGAGCGCCAAAGTGGTATTTATGTTCATTCATCAAGCATGCTCATGGAGTGCACACACATTAGAGTTATCACACAGGGAAAAACAAACACAGAACAAGGAAACATGAACAAGAGAAGTCCAGTTAATTGAGGGAAGATATTAAAGGCAGCCTATTAAGTTTGCTATTTTGTAGATGGCAGCAGACCAGCTGATATTTTTGTATAGAATTAGGCCATTTTCTCACATTTATATTCTCAGGTGTCTAAGACAAGATTTATATTTATCATGGAAATTTTTTTTTGTTATAAGACTTAGGGAACATGCATGGGATCTCAGTCTCAACCCAAGCTGAGGAGCTATTGGCAATTGATGGATACTACAAGACTCAGTTTTCTTCAGGGACAAAGTGAGGCCCTTGAGAGGCGACTCACACTCCAACAGATAACCCGACACCCATACACATACTGAGAGCACCAAATAAACTCAGCTTTACAGAACAGACAAGACAAAACAAAATACTTATTTGGGAGGAAAAAGTGGGGGGGGTAGAGTGGAAGAACTATAGGACAAACACAACATAGCCCGGTTGGTGATGGTGGCACACGCCTTTAATCCCCGCACTTGGGAGGCAGAGGCCAGCCTGGTCTACAGAGCTAGTTCCAGGATAGTTACATAAAAAAGACTGTCTCAAAAAACCAAAGTAAAATAAAGTAAAATGAAAATATAAATAAATTGACTACATGCACAGATGAAATTTTCAAACAACAGAAACAAGCTTTATTTTTAAACATAGCTGTAATTTAGTTAATCTTTTAGAGTCATGTTAGGGAGTTATAGAAATAGCAACAGTGGAGGCTGCCACCTCTGCCTGAGAAGTTCCTCTGGTTCCCTTTTAAAGGTGATGCGTGCAATGCTTAGTGTGGGTTGCAAAGCTAGGGTTTGGGTAGACAAAAGAGCTGGCGAGAACGAAGCCACCATGTCCTGGTTCATCTTTCAACCCTGCAGACAGGTCACAGTCAGGCTGCCTTCACATCTCCCTAGCTGGTAACTATATTGTAGATTACATACAACCGAGAACAACGACTTTGATCTCTCTTCTGAAGTCTTCAAGGCTGGAGGCACACCCAGGGTTTTCACCATGCTAGACCCCAGAGAAGGTCTGTATGAAGAAGGAAAACAGGGCAACATGAAACCAAATGATAATAAGAGTTACAAGACTCCCTGGAAATTTGTGCTCATTTCTGGAGCGCTACTGACAGGACTGGTGAATTAACTCTTGCACAGCGTCATCTGGCAATGGAATGCGTCTGAATGGCGCTGCGGATGACGGGGTACAGCCTCGAGCTTGAGCAGTAAGTCCAAGTCTTTGGTTGAAAAGACAAGTAGACGCGTATCAAAGCAGAGAACAGAACGGAAATCTCAGCAATTTACACATACTAAACTATTACATAACATTTGAACTTTGACTAAGAATGGATACAACTTCCTTTCAAGGCGAAATGGATCTTTGTATGGGTTGCTTTTCGTCTGCAAGACTGTTGTGGCGCACAGTGATGGAGGGGAGCGTTATTCAAATGAAAGTAAATAGCGCCCCCTGTTGGAAATCACCAGAATTTCCTGTTAGGTAAAATGACCTCTGCTTCTATCATAAAACAGCAAGTGCTTTAGTGGTGCTCATAAGGTTCCTCTTCCATCTTTAGCTTCTCCACTTCAGACTTTTGCACAAGCCATAATGAACTACATTTGTGTATTACTTACATCTTCTTCCAACCGCACTGAATTACTTAATTACTCATTGTCAAGTTCTCTTCCCCGATTCTTCCCGGGTTTGTACAGGATGGTCTCTTTACCAAGCAAACCCCTGCAAGTCAGTTAAATTCTTCTTTCAGAGTTAAGCTGAAAACTGATTTCTAAGAAGTCTTTCTTAGTGATAAAAATAATTAGAGCATATTGAGAACTTACTAAATGTCAGATATTATTCTAAGTTCTTTCGAATCATTAAGGCTTCCGCGCTCATCGGGAAAACTGTAGGAAATGAAGATGATTGCCTGTTACATGGGAGAAGAAACTGAGGCAGAGAGGCAATTCCCAAAAGTGTCAGAAAAATGAGCCAGGAGTTAGTGGTAATGAAAAGAAACGCTAATGCCCGACTGGGCATTAATAATTTCTTAGTTAAGAAATATGCTGGAGGGACTGGAGAGATAGATGGCTCAGCACTTAAAAGCACTGGCTGCTCTCCCAAAGGATCCAGGTTCGGTTCCCAACACCCATAAGACAGCTCATAATGGTCTGAAACTGCAGTTCTAGGGGATCCGAAGCCCTCTTCCAGCCTCAACAGGCAGCAGGCATGTACGTGGTGCATACAAACATGCAAGCAAAGCAGGAAATGCAGAAGGCAGCACGTTTGGGTAACCCCAACTCAAGTCTCCGCAAACACTTCTTGCTTTAGTTCCTTTTTGCTAACGTGAGAACCATTCTCAGGCTCATATGACTCCCTCAACCTCAAAGAGATGGCAGCTGGAGCCCACGCAGTTCTTTCGCGCAGCCACGTCCGGCTGGCTAGGTTTCCAATTTTGCCTCCGAAATAGTTGGGTACGGGATGGGGTGCTTCGAGGCAGCCTTCCACCACCCCAAGTGTGAATGGTGTGGACACCCCCATCACTGGTCCCTCGGTTGGGAACTCGGGGACAGGAGTGGCCCGCCTCCCCCACCGCTGGGTTGGGAAGCCTCTCCTCACAGACTCGGTGCCCAGAAGGCTGAGCGCAGCCCGCCTGCCAGCTCCGCACCCGAAGCTGAGCGCGCCCGCCGGCGGCACGAGTGGCGGGAAGAGACAGCCCGCCCCACCCGCGAGCTCCCGGGGGCGTGGCGAGAACAAGCCCCGCCCATGCCCAGCGGCTCCTCGCGGCAACCGGCACAACACAACAAGATGGCTGCTGTGCCGCCGGTCGCCTGAGGGCGGTATTCGAGCGTCTCCGCGTAGCCTTTCCCGCGAAGCTGTCCCTCCCGGTCCTGCAGCGGTGAGTGTGCTTCGGCGTCCGGACCGAGGGGGACGGCGGGCGGCAAAGGCCGGAAGGCTGCGGCCCAGCGTGAGGACCGCCGGCTCGGGACGGATTCGGGGCGGGGGCGTGTGCTTGGGAAGGGATTGGACGGG